AACTTATCATGATGAGAGAACAACACATTTTTTATTAATTGATAAATTGATTCTTAACGATTAAAAAAAAAGATAGGAATTCTTATTGGAGGAAACGATTAGGGTACAGCATAAATCACCTTCACTTCGTTTTGCCGCAAGGTTGGTGTGAAAGAACCAATAATAGATTCTTACTCTTGAAAAAATTGTAATTGTCCAAAATTAGTGTTAACCAGTTTTTTAAAGAGTGGGGGCGCGAGGCGAGGCATTTTACTTAATATGGGGCGAGACAAAAGTCCCGAGGTACGGGACATAAGCCTCATGGATCTTTAAATTTTTAATTTATAAATTAATAAAATAATATTAAAAAGTATAAAAGGTTGATTAAAATTAATAAAATTTAAATGGATTAAAGAAACTCATTAAAAATAAAGTATCTAGAATATTTTTACTAATATAAATAATCCAATAATGTTAAAAGTAATATGATACAAATCAACTATACTTAACTTTCAAATAATATAATTTCTTAAAAACTATTATCAAACTACACATTTTACCTCCCCAAAAGTAAAATAATTAATAAACTTCATCATTACTGTAATTTAAAATATTATTCCTTCACGATTAAATACAAAATTACTTTCAAATTTGAAAGACGTAGAACTAAGACATGAAGACTAATGGCAAGTGAAGATACAAATTTTGGCTATCTATATTCCAAAGAAATGTTCAAATGAAATTCACTCTCACGATGTTCGTTTAATTAATATGCAATATTGTGGCTCATTATTTGAGTTACTCTCAATTTTTATATTCCTGAATCCTGATGAATAGAACTTTTATCGTTCATTTGTTGTAGAATTAGGAGGGCCAACAAAGCTAATTAGGTAATTCAACACATGATTTGCGTAAGAACTATCGGGCAAGCCCAAGCGTTAGAAGTGCTCAAGGCGCTTGGTCGTAAGCCTCATGAAACTAAACCCTGTGTATGAGCCTCAAGGCGTTTAGATAGTGCCTGCCAGGGCAAGCCCTGAGCGAGACCAAAAAAGCTTTTTAAAACAGAGGTGTTAACATTGATGATGAAAAAAACCCTAGAAGTGAAAGTCAGAAAATAGCAAAGAAGTTTGTTGTTTGGGTATAACTTAAGAACACTTTAAACCAATTTTGGCGAACTAGTTAACAAAGAAATAGAGAAGTTCGTTATATCAAACAAGTGAGGACAACAGAGAATTCTATAAGAGGAACATTTCATTCTTTCCCCTTTTTAATCTCATAAAACCCCCATTATTTTAATCCCGTTTCAATCTTCAGCAACGGTCACAGGATATGAGGGGATTTTAGCTTTACCCATTAAAGTTAATATATGAGTTTAAATTATGCGCAGTGACAATATAAAGAAGGTTAAGTTAACCTACAACAAGAAATAACTTATCCAACCTAGAAAATAGAGTAATACCAAAATGGCAAAATTCTTTATCACCACCAGTGTATATATCTTAATTCTTTTTGGCATCCTTCTCTCTGAATATTCACACTTCACTCTTATACTGACTCCATCTCCAAGAATCATCTTCACTATCATAGTCCTCAACTGGACTCTCCATTTCTGGAACATCTTGTTGCTCCACAGCTTCAACTTCTTTTTCCTCAACATGTTCAGAATTCGCTTCTTCCTCCTGTGCAAAATCAATAATGCTTCAATGTATGAATTAGGAAATTGGGGGGAAAAACATATAATGCTTATGTCATTGCTCTTATCCCCAAGAAGGTATGACCAGAGGAGATGAAAGATTTCAGGCCTATAAGTTTAAATTGAAGCTTCTGCAAGATCTCATAAAAAATGCTGGCACAGAGAATGAAGAAAGTTATGAACATTCTGGTTGCAAACTCTCAGATGACCTTTGTTAAGGGGAGACAAATTACAGGAGGTGCTTATAGTAAATAAATGTCTTGACAGTAGGAGGCAAGGGGAAGCGAGCTTAATGTGCAAGCTGGACATGAAAAAGCATTTGATCGTGTTAATTGGGCGCATTTATTAGGCTTGCTGAAAGATATGGGGTTCAGGGACAAGTGGATTGGATGGATAAAGTGTTGCATCGCAAATGTTAGGTTCTCAGTGATTATAAATGGTTCTCCCGAAGGCTTTTTTCCTACATACAGGGGCTTAAGGCAATGGAGAGACTAAGTTCAACGATGCGAAAGGCAATGAGGTGTCAGTGGATCAAGGGTTTTGGTGCTGGGGCTGTGGGTCACGATGGAGTGGAAATCTCTCAATTAAGGTATCTCAGGGTGATTCTTCTATTATTTGAAATGATTTCTGGCTTGAAAATAAACATGGGAAAAAGTTCCATGTTTGCAGTTAATGAGGTACATAACATACCCTACTTGGAGATGTCTTGGGCTGTCAAATTGGAGAGCTTCCTACAGAATATCTGGGTATGCCATTGGAGGCTAGGTACAAGGCGAAACAGGTGTGGCAAATAATTGACAATCAGTGTGAAAAGAGACTTGCTACGTAGAAAAGATCATACTTGTCTCTTGGAGGAAGGGTGGCTCTCATTAACAGTGTTCTTGACTCTCTTCCTACATACCCTATGTCTTTGTTTCCCTTGCCAGTAAGTGTTAAAAAGAATCTTGATAGAATTTGGAGGAACTTTTTGTCGGGAGGTAACAAAGAAAAGAGGTCCTTTCACTTGGGTGGGAAAAGGTGAAGCTTAGCAAAAGAAGAAGACTGGGTACTAAAAACTTGAAAATTCGAAATGATAGCTTATTAACGAAGTGGTTGTGGAGATACGGAAAAGAAGAGGGGCAACTTATGGAGAAGGCTTATACCAGACAAATATGGTATACAAAATCTCTGGTTCTCTGGTTCTATGTTGCTCGGACTCTCCGAAAATATCGATGGGTGCGTGTTGGATCCTCCAAAAGTAGTGCATTTTTTGAGGATCCGACACGGGTGCGACAGCTGTTTCGGAGAGTCCCGGCAACATAGCTAAT